GCGCTAGGACAACAAACCAGGGGCACCATGAAGGGGGGGATAGTTAGGACGATTCCAAGGGGATCCTGAGGGGCCCTAAAACATAATCGGATTGGTCTGGGTAGGGGGCCCAATATGATATGCTTCCATTGGGCCCAAAGTGTCTAGCAGTGGCTATGTGGTCTCTATGTGGTACCTTTTCCAGTGGGGGTGCAGAGGAATAGGAGGTCTCGATGTTTCGCTAAAACCTGCCAGTATGTACATCACCAGCAGGTGTCGCTGTGCTTTTTCGATGAGCATAAGCTTGGGACTGACCAACACCCTGGGCTGAGGGCATCCAACCCCCCTCATGCACATCCTCCTTCACATTATAGGCAGTGCCTGGGCTGAATTCAGTGTCCACCTACTCTGCTTCCTGCCTGATAAAAAGACCCCCCCCCCCCAAAGAGGCTTCCCCTTGGTACGGCCCTCCTTTGCTCTGGCCAATGGCAGCAGGTCTCCGCATGCAACCTTCCCATTAGCGCAGAACCGACTCTGCTTAATTCGAGCCGAAGCTCGCCCCGGTCTCTGCCCGTCTTTGATCTAATGTGGCACTGGGCGAGCAGGGGGCCTCGCCCCCTCAGTCACGCACAGGGGAGACAACTACCATCCCCATTCTGCTCAGCCACAAAACATTGTAAATTGTATCAGTGTGCAACGAGACCGCGGCATACTGCTAAAAGCTTTTATCAAGCTAAGACTAGAACAATTCAGAGTGTTGGCATTTTTATATCTCTACGCATTCTGCGTTCGTTTAATATTTGCATGTGTCCGTCTGTGTGTGTGCATATCATATATACACACACACACACACACACACACACACACACACACACACACATATATATATATATATATATATATATATATATATATATATGGCAATAATCAGGACCAGTAAAATCTCTGGTTTGATTTGGCCTGATTTCTTGTGTTGCCCGTTGATCACTGTCTCCATGCCTCCAGACAGCGCGAGTAATAAGCCCAGCTGACCCCGAAGCACCCAGCCTCTTTAATGGAGGTTTATACACGGTCAGCTAGATGGCCACAGAGTCTCAGCCGTTGAGTCAGATTCTCTGCTTTTCTAGCCGAGCTTTTTTGTTATTCCGTCGGGGGGTCTCTTTCATTCGTAGTGAACTGAAGCTTGTGGTGCGTCATTCAGCGGGTTTCTGCCTGACGCCCATGTCTGGAATCTCATGGGTTCAAATCCCCTGCTGGGCAGAGTGACAGTGATCACATCTCACTTGTATGTCATTTAAGACAAAAAAGCAGCTGGTAAATAAATAACTGTAAATTAACATAAGTGACCCAAACCCAATTCTATGTTGTGGTTTTCTTGTTGCAATCTTTGGTTTTAAGTGAACCCTTTCTCTCCTATGGCGCACATACTGACTATATATTTACAGAGTGTGAGCACACATACACAGGAATGTAACTACCACCCACAGGCCAGTAGTGTTAAGTTCGTCGCTTACTCTTCTCTCAACCACAAGGTGTCCCTATAGCTCTGCTATCTCTCCTCTCATCTTTGTGCTTCGATTACCGCCAGTGTGCTACACGTGCAATACATTTCCAGCACACAGTCCTCATAGATAAATGCAGCCAATTTATAAACAAAACCTTATCATGTCTGTCCTAATTCTGACATTAAAGCAGATCTGTTTTTTTTCTGTAGGGCCTGGAAAATAAGCTGTAGCTGGCAAGATTAAAGTCGTACCGTGTTTTTTACAACAAAGAAATGATTTGTTAAATCACCTGTATTGTTAAAATGTTAAACTTTAGTTTGCCTACCATCATGACTTGTAGCAGTGTAGGCTATTCAAAGTGAGGTGAAGAACCATTTTTACTCCATATCGTCATATGAGAATTACTGTCACAGTTATTTCCATTCTGTCATACGTTTCTCCCAGTATAATTGGCTCTTTTATCATTAGCTTGTGTTTGTTTTGCGTCTTTGCTTTTGATTCCTAGCTAACACTGGGACAGGCATAGGAGGCTGAACACAACAGCCATGAGTGAAAACTCAACAGCACAAATTTATACCGTCTGGGACTAATTATGCCCTGAAATTTTCCACTAAATGGCTGCTTGCCTCCTGCTTTCTTTATCTCTAGTTCTGCGGTACAAACCTCTCACCCTTTTCAAGGCCTTAAGCAAGATTTAATTAACCGAGTTGTCATATTTCATCTTCCTACCTATTCTGACAGGCTGATCAGATAGGGGGGGTCCCCTGCTGCCCATTGGGTCATGAGGCCCTGGGGGGCTGAAACACCCTTACCCCTGAAGTGCCTTCTCTCCAAACCAGTCTCCCTTCCCCAGCGCCCGCAGGTAGACCGGATCCTCGTTGGGTGCATCTTCTCGCGTGACATTCACCTGCCAATGGAGACAATGTCAGGTTCCCCAGAGCGTAGCTGCCCACAGTGCAGTGAGGCCACTGGAGCCATGGAACTTTCCGTGCAGAGTGAATGACGACTGGGTCAAACAATACAGGAGGGAAATGGTTAATAAGGTTTACATGCCATATTTAGGCACAAAAACGGGCGGCCGTGTGAATAGCACAGTCTCACAGGAAGCTGAGATTTAAGCTTTAGCATTAACCCGAATACCATTCAGTGGTCTGTTTGTTCATCGAAGGAAATGGGAACTTCTTGTGCTAACATTTCATCATCTGTCCATCTTCCATAGCACAAATCGAGCCCAGGGTTGCATTGTGGCAGGGAACAGTCTGGAAGCCCATCACAGGGCATGCACACAAATACTACGGGCAATTCAGATATATCAGATGGAGATGGTGTGCCAGGAAGAAATTTGTGCATCAGGGGGAGAACAAAAACCACAACACACAGCCGGAGGCAGGATTCAACCCCCCAAATATGCTACTTATTGAGTCACGATATTAATAAATTAATAAATTATCCCAATTACAATTGAAATTGAAATTCAATCGAAATTACAATTCAATACAAATTACAATTACATATTTGCCTTGCTACAGATAATATTAACATTACTGTTAAAATGCCATGTGCCATGGCTGAAAACTAGCATTGTTGTAGTAAGGAGTCCCCATGTCACACACCTAAAACATCTCAGAATACCAGTTTCAGCCTGGGACAGACGTCAACGTCACTCCAGGGTGCTAATCCTACATACAGTATGCTTGCTGTTCATAAATCTCAGCCAATCGGAGCAGGAGGAGGGAGGGTTGTCCTGTTGGCAGAGGAACTGTAATCGAATCTGAAAAGTGTTACCTTGTGCTCCGAGGGCAGGGGACAGAGCCAGCGACCTACATCATCATTAATAATGGGTGAGGGTGAGCTGATAGGCCTCGCTGGAATCTCACCTTCCCTTTGCTGATAATGAAGAAGGTATCTCCTCTGGCACCCTGCCGGATGATGTACTCGCCGTCCTCGTAGTGCGTCTGCAGGAAGAGTGGGCACATTACTCCACTGTACTGTCCCAGTAACCAGTATCAATGCTGTCATCAATGTTACTCCAGTCATCTTCCATACTGCTTATCCACAAAAGGGTCATGATGAGTCATCGCCATTGATGGGGTGCCAGTCCAGCACAAGACATATAATAATAATAATAATAATAATAATAATAATAATAATAATAATAATAATAATAATAGTGCCATAGCATTGTTTGGCAGGCAGTTGTATCTACAGCAGGGTAAATACCTTGGGTATTTACAGAAGAAAGCCAAGTCTAGCTTGCCCTCAGTTACACCAACAAGACCTCCTGGGAATTTGATCCTAAACTTCTCTGATGCAAGCCCTCTTCTCAAACCAGTGATGTTGCCTGCTGCAATAACTGCAAAACTCAGGCAGGCCGCAATAATAACTATAGCTGCTAAACATATTAAAGGAAAATTCCACCTAGAGTTCTTTTTCTTATAACCAAGTAATTTCCTCCGAAACAAATTGCATTATATGGCACTCGAGCAAGTTTTTGTTTTCTGAAAAGACTCACCAGAAGACATTTCGGTTCCAATTTGTGTTGGAGGGCAGAAATTAAGCACCTTGTAAATCGTATGCAGATTATTTTCTGCTCTGAATGACTGACTTCTGTTCAGCTTTTCAAAATCGAACCCCTATACCAGCACAAAGCCTCAATCCTATGACACTTTCTGAGGATGGTGCAAAAAGGTATTCCTCAATACACAAGAGATTACGGTACCTGAAATCCTTGTTAAGATCACACATACAACTGCACATACCATTGTGAATGTGCAACAGTTACCAGGCCAGATCTGTCGCATATAATTCCTGGGCTCGGGAGAAAATTACTTCAATCAGGCTCCCATGACACACAACCCCTTCCACCTGAAAACTCCCCCCTGGCCAGGGTCTGGGACAACTTCCCCAGCTGTCCCCCTGAGACAGCAGGGCTGTACCACACCTCCAAGCTATATGGCATGCTAACATTTGTTAACACAAATCTTTAGCATTTAGCTAATCACAGATTAGCTACTGAGCATCAACATTTTATCAGTGGCATAGAGCTTTTCAAGACGGGGCTCTTCATGAGCCGGTTGCACAATTCAGTCTCCCTGTCTGCAGGACATGCTAGAGTCTACTGCTTATGATTTCCAGCAATCGGGGGCCAGTAACACCAGGGCATACTCATCCACTCATCCAACAACAGACAAGTGCAACTACTCCTTTTCACATGTTCATATCGTCCACACTATTTAGTCTATAATGGCTCTGCCCAAATACATATGATTTCTGTCCACCTATCCTCTATAACTGGTAAACCACGAGGTTCCATTGCAAACCTTGAGCCTATGCCAATAAGCACAGGGTACAAAGCTGAGGACAAGATGCTAGCCCATTGTAAGGTACACACTCACACATACTCAGGTAATATGGGCAATTTAGGGCCACCAATTCTCCTAATGACGTGACTCTGGGCTGTGAGAAGAATGAGTGCCTGTTGAAAACCCACAAAAGGTCAGGTAGATCACAGAAACTCAGACGCAAAGCCAGAGCAGGAATCACACCCATAACAGTGCTAGCTGTACTGCCACTATACTTACATGGATACATTATAATTTTCACATGTCAGCTCTGTCTGTGGTATAAAAATTGTTTTCGCATAAGTCACAAAACACAAGCAGTGATATCAAACAGTAACAGCTAGGTTCAGATTTAAAAAGTGGGGCATCAATTTTGTCTGTGAATGTTGTTCCTGAAAATGGTTTTAAGTTATTCACATTGATTGTTTTTGAAAATGCATTTTCTGAATGTTGTGAGAATTGAAATGGAAATTGCTCTAAGCTAAGATTTCCTTATCTGTCATATAAAGGAAATTAAATGAGATAATTTGATATATTTGTGAGTCAAAATCAAAGACACCTTAATGGCAGGTGGTGTCAAAAAAAGAGAATGCCTCCAATATAAAACATTTCCCCACATTTTCATTTTGTTTTGCTTGGTGTCGATAAACTCGCAAACGAAGGACAGCAGGGGAGACGTGAAAGATCCGTTCAAAAAATATGACACTAAATGTGAAAAGTAGTGTTTTGAACGAGATGGCAGTTTCATCGTGGAACAGAGCAGTTTTTAGTGGGACTGAGATGACCAAGCAGGGACAAAGAGTGCAAAACAAAGAGTGAGGAGAAGGACAATGATCAGCTTTCATGGGACCATGTGTCCAAGCATAGGGTTGAGCCGTCTGGACCGTTCGTACCATAAACGGCTGCAAAACCAGACAGACAGACTTAAGTGCATAAATAAATTAATATATAGCCTATTTGGCTGCAAAGTGCTCACGAGCAGAATATTATCAAAGTTCATAAGTTGTGTTATTCTAAAGAGACAAAAACATTAATTCAATTCTTTGTTCCTTGACCACACATTTTATAATCATGCCATTACCAAAGACATACAGACTTTACATAATCTTCATAATTACATATTTCATAATTACTATATAATCACGCACAAGTGTACCAGTAAAAATCAGTAAAATGCAGGGGGTTTAATCTTTTAACAACCTACATTTTATATATCTGTTACAGTTTCTTTCAGTCTGTTTAACTCTTCAGTCGCAACATTTCACATTTTACTAACGAGTAACTTGTGTGTTAAAGTAAGGCAGGCCTGTATTGGTAGGACTGTATGTCTTAGCCTGTCACTAGTCATGTTCTTGTTAAAAATCAATAGATACACTCAGTAACAAGCTGGGCATTTACTTCTTTGTTCCCTTCGTCTTGTACAGTGTACCAGCCATAAAGTACAGCCCAGTGCTGTTAAACACTAAGCAGTAGCGCCAAACTTACAAGTAATGCACTTGTGACTAGCAAAAATAAAGAAATGTTCATGGAAGGTTATAAAACCTTTTATCGAGTGAAAACATCCAAAAGGGATTAATAAAAAAAAAAAAAAAACAACATTTGGACACACACAGGAAAAATATACACATCCACTTCAAAAATCAATCCACCTCCATTTTCAGATTAATCAGTGACTGTTGACAGTGCTCAGACTGTAAGGACACTGCTGTCAGGTTCCAGAGGAAGTTGTTAGGAAATGCCAAAATCCCGGCACTAACCTAACATGAAATCGAGCGGAGGAAATGGGGCTATTGATTTATAAGAGGGGGCACCTCTGAGGGGCCGCGGAAACATCCCATCCAATGTCTGACATTTATTAGCGGAGGATGAATGAGCGAATAAACAAATCGCTACCTATTAATTGGATGTCTAAGCCAGAACACTACTGTTCATGAACATATCGCATAATCTTCCCGTTTTCTCACTGTACCACAAACATGAGGATGTACAGTTAAGAAAGAAGCAATTAATTATTCATTCATCTTCTATACCTCTTGTCCTATACAGGGTTGCAGAGTCTGTCCTAGAAATTATGGGCACAAGGCGGGGAACAACCCAGGATGTGATGCCAACCCATCGCAGGGAACAAGGCGGGGAACAACCCAGGATGTGATGCCAACCCATCGCAGGGAACAAGGCGGGGAACAACCCAGGATGTGATGCCAGCCCATCGCAAAGCACAAACACAGTGTCATAGAGTTGGGGTGAGAAATCAAACCTGGGTTTTCAGAGGCATGAGGCGACCACGCTAAGTACTACATCATCATGCCACCCATACGTAAATAAGAATAATAACAGTGAAATAATCTACCGATGTGCTCATATTTGTTCCTCATAATTTGCCACAGATCTTAAACTGAACTTATGACAGGCATTTTGAGTACACTGTGGATGACCTCCCTACATTCCGTTAGCTACAAAGCTTAGAGACCATCTGAAGGTCCTCCTTGGCATGCATGGTTGTTCACAGGTTTGGAGTAAACAGCCTGAGTGAGGCCTTAGCGAATCCTTCAGCAAGCGGATTCTCACGTTGACCTCGGAAGCAAACGGCTGCAGACAGCCGAGTCTCTCGGGTTCGACCCCGGGATATTTTTTTCTTGTTCCCTCTTTCACCCCGGTCACATTTCACAGAGCGGGGCCTTTTCTTGCCCTTGTCTCAGGGCCACTCCAGCCAGAGAGGGTGACACCGGCTCCGCCATTCAGGGGCGGAAAAACACGAAACATGAGCGAGGTCGCCGTGACCAAAGCGCTGACATTTCCGGAGATGAAGAGCAAAGTCCTCCAGCTTTCATGTGACGGCGGGATGAGCCGCTGCCAGGTGTGAGGGACAGGATGGGCGGTAGCCTGACCAGGGGGCAGAAGAGCGAGTGAGAACTCGCTCTCAAACAATAGCAAGAATTGTGTCGAATCTCATGAATAAAGAAAAACTATCTCTCTCTCCATCATAAATGTTTAGCTAGACCCATTTATGAGATAAAAGATTAAATTCACCTCCGTTCTAAATCAGCTGGAAAATACCACATTCAGCTTCATTATTTAATGTCCCTACAATTTGGTGAGAAATACATTTGCCATTTAAAAAAAAGTAATTCAGAGACGAGCTTTACGTAAGAGGATAACGACAATACCTGTAAATGGGGTGTAATGTCACAAAATTAATTTTTAAAATGAATGTTACTGACACTTAATCTGAAGCAGATAAATAAAAATGCATGCAAACCCACATCCCTGCACATCCCAGTAAAACAAAGTAACAAAAAGTAGGATTAAATCAATCTATCTGCCTCAGCCCCTGTCCCCCCCATTAACACGCAATACCTCATTGTCATAAATATCTCACTGTACTTTTTGTATTCTTATGTACAAATATTTATTCCAACATTCCTTGCACTGCACTCTTGCACACTGGATACATCAACTGGACTGTGTAAGATGATTGTCTTGTCTTAACAGTGTTTATATCTATGTAGGGAACATTCTTGGCCAATAAACCTGATTCTGGATGATCAATCAATCTGTTGATCTATTGGTCATTCTATCATACTAATAAATACATATAGCTAAATAGTACAACGAGGAAGCACAAGACAGGCTAACGACGCAGGTGGTGCGGCTTTCACGCTACTAAATCGCCCATCTGAAGCCGATGTCTGTGCCGCATTGATTGGCCCCAGCTGCTCTCAGCTCTCGCTCTCCTTTAATTATTAATAAGGTAGACTTAACATCTGTTAGCTGGATGCCAGACTGCAATAAGTGAGGTCGTCGCTGCGAACCAGGCAGTCTTCCGGAACCCCCCCCCCCCTTCCCCCAAACTCCCTTCCACTGGCCTTCCCTCCGTCACCCCCCACCACTGAATGGAAAAATGTGAACTTTTGACACGCGGCTCTTCATTTTGCTCGGAGCAGTGTGGGAACCTCCGCCCACCTCCTGACAGGCCCCAGATGTCGGGGAGCAGAAACAATCGAGACCTTCCCGGCTCTACTTAAGTGCCCGAAGCGAAACACGCGGCTCTGGGCATGAGCCGCACACTGTTATTCATTCAGCCTGAACTGGCCGCATCTCAGCCCACACTCTGTCCCACGTCCGCCACACGTGCCCAGCTCATAAACAGCTCTAGCTCACCGCACTGTTTTTAGCCGTTAGCTGTTTATGCGCGGCTAAATCTGCCAGGGAAGCTGGAAAACATGGTGGGGCCTCTGTCGCCTTTCCCTGCAGCTCATTTCATTGTTATCTTCTGTGCTCTGAATGTTTATGAAATGATAGAACGAGATGCTTCCTTCGGCCTCAGAATATGTCACTTCGATAAGTACGATAAGTAGGCCGGCGGCGGTAATGACAGGACAGCCGGTGTTTTCAGCCACGCTGTCGGATGAGGAATGAGGTCATCGCTTCAACCCCATGCAGAGCATGTGTAGCCATTAACCGCTACAAGCGCAAGTGCCTTGGTCACTTCCTCTGTAGACCATAATGTCGGTACTGTGTTAATTACCGCAATACATTTTGAGGAAACTGTGAGCCGGCAATTAAGGAAAAAGTGGTACCCGGTTGGGCTAAACATTCACATCAATTCTTTCGGATAAAGGAACTTTGGCCAAAATCCCATTATTGAAACAGCAGGTTCTGCAGTTTGAGTCCGACCATTAGAGTCTGTAGACAAACCAGGGTTAAAAAAAAAAAATGATTATGGGCTGTATGATTGGCTCATTAATAAGGGGCAATAGTGTAGATATAATCAGGATGATGAAAATAGCAAGTGCTCCTGGCTGAAAAAGAAAAATAAAATTTTTACAACCTGAAAAATGAGGTTAGGATTAGTCGGTTAGAAAGTTAGGTTAACAGACGTGAATAGTCAAAAAAGTACCTTACAATTTCAGAGACTTTCAATAGAGGTTTAAATCCCTGTAGTATTAGCTACAAGTAAACTCAGTGATTATTAATACTAAAAAAAATCTGTGGGGACCTAACGCAGAAGTTTAACATTTAATATGTGATGATAAAAAATATAGTAGACAGCAGGGAGAGCCTACAGTAGTTCTATGCACGGTGTTCATGTTACTCGGTAATGAACTGCAGTGGTTCCAAGAAAGCCTTGTTGAAGTTATCAAAATCCCCTACTGCATCTCTCGTAACATCCTGCCCTGTGTCACGCCTTTGATTGAGCAGCTCTTTGTTGAACAGAGAAAGGCTTCTGGAAAACAGGACAATATGGCATAGGGGACACTGCTGCGTGACACACTGAGGCACCAAGAACAGCCTGGTTTGTTTCCAACTTCTGCCAGTAGTCCTTCACTTAATTATGGCATTTTCATCATTTTAAGGCGGCGGTTCACAACTGGATTAACCAAAGTCAAAATTTGAACCACGTTTATTAAAAACCCTCTTGGTTTCAAATTCCCAGAATCCTCTTCCTTGCTTGTTCTCAGCTTTACATTTACCCTTCCACTCTTCCCCAAAATACATTTTATTATTTGTCTAATTTGACTGCTGGGTTTTAAGTCATCCATCCCCTTCCGCAAACACTTATCCAACCGGGGCTTTTATCCAATTAATGCAAATTCCCTAATCGTATGTTCCGCACCGACTGATCTTTAGGTTGAGAAACATCACATATTCTTCGTATACAACAGTTTCAGCTTATCGACGTCGGGGCGGTATTCAACAGAAAACCTCCAGTCACTTTTATTGTTCCATTTTCCTTCGCTGAGTCGTGGGAAGGTGATTAGCGTAGCGTTTTGACTAATGCGCTCGTAAACAACAGCGCGCCGCCCGCAGGCAGACCGTGCCGGCATTTAATCATATAGCTGCTTCATACTGCGATCGACTTTGACGTAGCACGACAAGACGTGTAAATACCCCTTGCATTTAAGAATTCCTCCCAGCTCTGCTGTCCTATAATGAATAATTGTGATCTGAGAACGAAAGCGTTGGGATTAGTAAAGTGCTCTGGCGACAGGGCTTCAGACGGAGGTCTTCCGTTCGTCACGCTCGAGGGACTCGCCTCTCGCAGGTGACTCACTGGCTCGGAATTCTTCTAGACGCAATTCTTGCGGCGTGTTAATCGCCATCTCCAGCTCCCTTTGGTTTAAGTCTTGCTTCTAGTGTCTCATTTAAAAGTTTCCAGGCAGCAGAGATTGAACCGTGATAGAGACTGCAACAGCTGTGAGCAGCGAAAAACATTACGCACGTTAGAGCAACACTATTTTAATTTTCCTATTTCCCAAAGCAGAGGTATAGTATTAGTCGTGATGTGTGTGTGTATATGTTATGAATGACTGTACAACTATAGGAGCCTTCCATCCATGGGATCTGTGTAATTAACATTGATATTGCAGGAGGGCAGACAGAAAAACGAACAGAAATATGCCAATTCTGAGATGGAACATCTCATACAGCGGTGTTCCCCTGCCATTCTGACATCTCTTCTATGGGTTTCCACAGACACACTGCTGGAGATCTTTAGTTAATTAGCAGAAAATGGGTCATGTACATTCTTTGGAATCCACCAGCCTGTCGTTTTCCCTGCGTGATACTCGCCTGCCGACTTGGTTGACATTAGGACGACCCCAGGGGCTAAGAAATGAAAGTGGAGTTGTAAGGCATAGGAATCAGAGTAAGGAGGTTAAATTCCTGGTTTTGCTGTTAAGAAGGTGGCACTGGGTCATCCTTTTGCTTGAGCTATGCTATATCTGCTAGCGGGATAATTATTAACCCAACATAAGAAGCTGCAACTGAAAAGCTCATATAATTCTGGAAAATCAGCTTAAAAGGATCCTAACCTTAACCCTAACCCCAATTAATGGAAATGCAAGACAGATACTATCATTCTTCCGCTTCCTACTTATTTCAGAACCTATGAAATGGTCTCCTGCACTTCAGAAAGTGTTCATGTCTCTCAGCTCAATAATATGAAACAATGTGGCACATAAAACTGCAAAGGAAAAGATCCCTGAGGGTTCAAATAAAACAATATAAGGCTTTCAATATGGACCAAGAACCTCTTGAGTTAATGACAATAGTAGAACCTTGCCAAGTTTTATACTACAGGAAGGCGGTGGTGCACAAACTCTCGACAAACTTTGACGACACTCACTTGAAGGTTCGAGGTTGTAGGCGTTTTACTTACGCAAAAATGTTTTGAGGGCAGAAGTAACAACAATTCATTTAGAGAGATAACCAATCAAATTGCAGAGGAGGTGGGTCCAAGCAACTAGAGGAGGCAGGACCAAGCCAACTGATTGGCCAGTCCCACCTCCTCTAGTTGCTGGGAGCTACTTCCTCTACAATTTCAATTGGTTATCCCTCTGAACCAATCATTGATCCTTCTGCCCTCAGAACATTTTTGTGCAAGTAAAACTCCCATCAACCAGGTCCGAAGAGAGACAGGGAATGGACATCTGTCCAGCACTCGAGTGGTGTAACCCTCAGCACACCCTGGCTTGTCATGTTAGCAGGATGTGCAGCACTCGTCTCGGAAGTAACCACCTGACGCACACCACCATTTATCCTGTTCAGAGCCTCTAACACCTCCATGGGACCATGAAGGCTCATATCCAGCTTGAAGAGCGGCTGGCTTATACATTCACGCACAAAGAGGACCTCTGGGAACACAGCTGCGTGTCTCACTGACCCCCCTGCACTCTTCCCTATCTCCTGTCCTACAAAAAGACTCAGGAGACTATAAGTATTTATGATAGATGGCAAACAGGTGGAATTTAATGCGCTAATAAGCTGTTAATATTTGTGGCTGGTTTAAACATTAAATTAGAAAGATTAGGGCACAAATATTGGAGACAATCTTGAGGGCAAAAAATAAAGCTATGAGCTCAGATTTTGAACCATACCATGTAAACAAAACCTCTGGCCCCAAATAGCTACCCATTAAGTTTTATGTCAGCCTGAAAACCCGCAGCAATCTCATTCCACGGAAGGTTACACCTTCATGCTTTAGATAAGTCCATTTCTATTAACCTTCCACCATCTTAGCGGGCATCACAGTAAAACATTGTTCTGACCATTTAGACCATTTATTTTTCAAAAAAAATCTTTTTTTTTTTTGTAATACCTCTTGATCACTTAATAAACCAACATCAAGCACTGCACAGCCAGAAAATAAAGTCATATCATTATTCATGCCACTACATCTGTGCTAATAGCTCACGGCTAGTATATAATGCCTTTGTTATAGAGAGGGTTTTAATTTGCCTTTTCCCAGCCAAACAGAACATTTTCTTAATCTATATATTATCCTATAAAATACGCTTAAGTCTAACATAATGGAAATAGACCTAGTTCGTCTAAAAGGAGGATTATCTGCTTTAAGACGGTAAATGTTTGCATAAATGAAGCACTGATTCAGTTTGATGCGAAGTATCCTCAAACCTTACCTCCTCCAGTACGTCGGCAAGCTTGCTCAGTATCTCCTCCGGAAGGCCTTGGAACGTGGGAACGCTGCAGCAGACAGAGAGTTTGAAGGATTAACATCTAATCACGCCGAAGCTACCTCCATTAGCTTAGGGTTTGATGAAACAATATAGAAGAGAACCGGCGTGACAGTTAGAGTGGAATGACTGCGGGATTGCTCCTTTAATTAACATGGCTGGGAATAATGGCTATGAGGTTGATATTCAGAGACTGTGTTGGAGGGCAGTGGTATATTACAGCCGGGGAAAATGGCCGGATGAGTCACAGCATCCCTACATCCCAGACTTACCATGACACCTCCCTCCAAACGACAAACACTTCTCAGTTTTAGGAATATAATTAGAAATTAATAGTTTTTTGCTTATTTCTGTAAGGTCCTCATAAGCCAGAAATGTAGATTAATACAGTCATGCATCTTCCAACCTTTTACGTAACACAATTACACAGGGGTCCGTGCCAGGCCATCTCAGAGCCCTCCCCCCCCCCGGTATGCTACAGAGGCGGTTCTGGGGGGGGGGGGCAGGAGGACCTGTGATAATAAGGGGCCTGTGATACAAGTTGCAAATGCATATGCTACTTGAGTCTGAAATAAATGTATTATTATTGCTATTATTATTATTTACATTTATACTGTATATGTTGTGCGCTGGGGACAGGCGAAACACAAACAGAAGCACATTATTCTTGACGGGTGGTGGAGTCCCTTCAGCTGGTGAAAAGTGAAGTTAATGACAAAAAAAAATAATCAAGCTTGTGGAAGCAAGACAGTCTAAACAATGAATCAGTGTTGAGTTGCGTATTTGTTAAATCTGTAAAATATGACTGCACAGCGTTGCATAAGTAGCTTACCGGTTTTCATAATTGTCTTTTGCTTCTTAATGCTGGCAATCTAGTGCAAGTAATACATGTAGGACATTAAGGTCAAATGCATCTGACCCTAACTGAACCACTGGTCTCAGTCTGCCCCCCCCCCCAGTTGAAATGGGCTAGAATTGCCACTGGAGATAACTGTAGTACCTGGAGGAACTCTTCACATAATAATGGGCCCTGGACACACACACACACACACACACAAGTCAACATTTTGTAATATTCTCTACATTTTAGAATAATTACACAGACATAAAAACTATAAAATAACATTCTTGGAATTGTGCACTGACCAAAACAGTATTAAATTAAAAAATAATTTGTTGGGGGGGCAGCTCTGTGGGTTAGGAATTAGATGGTTGCTGGGTCAAATCCCGTGTTCGGCAGGGTTATCTCGCCATTGGGCCCTTGGGCAAGGCCTTTAACCCCAACTGTCTCCTCTATGCCAGTTACATGAGGTGGCCTCCTGGGATGCTTTTCCAGCTGCCCTGAAGGAGCTCCCACACATAAGCTGAGCTCTCATTGGTCACTTTTACTTCACTGTCTGGTCAAACTCCTCCAAAACCATTTCTGCTGTGTTTAGGTCAGGTGGCCAGGTCATGTGATGAGACACTATCGCTCTCCTTTTTAGGCAGCTTGGCGTGTCCAGACTTTTGACTGGTACTGTATATATATCCTGCCAGCATGAAATTCAGCATACAGATATACTACAATCTTGTTGCAGCAAGACTTTGCTGTATTCATTGCTTATTACATGTATGCATGCTGTGTCAAAGAAGTAGTATGTTACCATACCTAAGTAAAGGCTAAATGGAAAAAGGATTACAATGTACTGGGGAAAATATGCCTCACTTTAGATTATCTCCCACTTAACTTTCCCTGGCATCTATAAGGATTTTATTTGCTTACAACTCCTTCCCCTGAAGAATGTCAGTAATTGTAAAAAAAAACCATATAGAAGACCTAGATAAACATAGATGGCCTTGACTACCTTCTAAAAACCCAGAGACTTACAGTATCAGTAGCCTTTGTGTCAAGCCTAAGCCCTTGAATGTTGGAAAATGTTGAGAGCTGCTACTTAGGAAGGAACATGGGATACTTTGACAATTAATCCTGACCTTTTAGCACGTTAGACCTGGAAAAGGAATGCATTTCTATACTCCTCATTTCCGGTGTCTTTTTGAAGTTAGCTCTGAAGAACAGAGTTGTATAGTTAACGTCTTTGTTTCTTCAATATCAAAGGGATGACACACTTGGAAAAACCCCCAAGAATCCAAAGGCAGATGATTATTAGATTCACACAATGCCTTGAAAGCAAACACAGTCAAAAGTAAACAAGTTGACAGATCTCTTCGCAACACTTATAGCTACTTTTGGAGCTGAGGACTTGTCACTTTTCTTAAAGCGTAGCTTCAAAAAGCTCCTGGGACTGAGAGTGTGAATAGATTTAAGCTCTCGTAGGAAGCCTTGGTTTAGGTGTGAGGTTACATAGGAAAAGCAAATGCCTCATAACCCTGACATATAATATCATCTGTAAATATATATTTTAATAGAACAAGGATTATGAGAAGCATATAAAAAAAGAATCACTAAATATTTTACATTGACTACCTTACATAATACATATTGATATATGATGTATATTTATATAATTAAATGTACACTTTTCTCAGTATCATATCATATAAATTCAGGCATAATGTTTGAGTGAGAGCAAAAAAAAAATGCAATATTTGTCCAACTTGTCAGAAAGACTTTAATAACCTCGCCATTACCATAGCATAACGGAAGGAGGAAAGTGAGACCATCGATTTATGTGAGACTACGGGCTCTCTTTAGCCAGCAATGCACAAAAGGCATCTTGCATTACGACTAAAAGCTGACTTCACTTTAATCAATGCCCGCCTTTCCAGTGCGTGACATCATCTGTCAGGCGATTTCCAGTAAAGAGCCGTTTTGAAAGCCTTGTAAGTAAGCATGCGTGGCCCCGCCGTCTTGCGGAACGTTCCAGGCGACGTACAGTGAGATGCAACCAAAATACGGCTCCTATACCAGTAAAGATACCATCGTAAAGTAAAAAACAAATATTTTTAAATTTTCTCTCGTATGCACACAAGGTATGCATAATATGATAAGTAGGTATTTACTGGTGTTCTTCATCTGAACAATGTTTACTACAGACTATACAGCCAATAGAGAAGAACCACCATGAACATACAATTGTTGTGATTGTCATTCCTCTTCACTTGTAGACTTGTGGTGGAAGAGTTAAGTACTGATTACTGATTACTATATATGTTACATTGTAGCCCGTTGTCTTTGCTGCTAAAAGCACTCCTGTTTCTTAACTCAACCATTTGTTTAACTGGTTAATACTATACTGATACTCTATAATATTATGTACTGTGGTAGGCAGTAATAGCATACAGTCACAGATTTGTAAAATGCCTCATTCACAACAGGAATGTTCAATATTTCAAATCACTAGTACAAGATATTTATGGAGGAACTGTTGACGGTTGACAGAATGACCTTTTAAAGGCTTTTTTAAAAAAAAAAATTAAAAAAAAAAGCCACAGCCTAATCTTCCATGATTTCTATGCTTCATGTGCTGTGGTTTTCCAAAATAATTAAAAAGTAGTCAGGCATCAAATCAATATTACTTCAAACTGAAAACAAACAAAACAGAAGATGGGTGTATATGGATTTGTCATCCAGTAAAAAAAGGAGGGCTGTAGTTATGATATTTTTATACGCAATTCATAAGGTCTTTACAGAATCTACATAAGTAATACATAAAATGCCTTAAGGTTGTTAAATCAATTCTACATACTGGAATGTAATACTAAACATTAATATTTCTGATGTTCCTTAATAAGACCCTAGGAAAGACCCAAATGGAAACCTGTCTTTGTTTCTTGTGTGGTTAAACGATAGAGACAGCTATTAATTAATCATTGGGACATTATTTCATTCAGTTCAATTTATATTTTTACATTATACAATAATGTTTCAAATTAAATTTTATAGCTATGCATAGCTGTATAGGTATATACATTTGATTAAAGAAAGTAATTTTGTGCAACACAATTGCAAAGTTAAAAGCATTACGAGGACGGAGCTTCCCCTGTCATCCCGTACCGATGCATTCACTGGCAATTCACTTTTTAGATCATGGGTAACTGAAGCATTCTAATGCAGTCACTGAGGTTTAATGATCATCCACTACTATTTCCAGACCATTACAATGTTTCGAGGTTCTGTGGGGTTGCAAGGAGTATTGGGGGTCGGCAGGGGGAGACTGGCATTTTCTGAAGAACCAAGCATCCCGAAATATCACAAATCATTTTTAATAAGTGCATTAAAGGCAATCTAGATTGATGGATTTAGAGGAAATAGAATTCTACGACATCAACCAGTGTTAAACAAGAACACCAGAGAAGAAGGAGATTATGTGAGTGTAGAATAGGGAATACATTACTGCATGTGAATGTGCTACAATAATCTTTAAAAATGAATTACGTGCAGCTAAAAATAGCTATCACTTACAATAATCACACACTGCTACCAAGCTGGAAACAACGAAACATACATTATGCAATGATTCATACTCTTTGATGATAATTTCTTTCATCTGACTTGCCACATTAATAAGGTTTGTTTCTTTCTTTAATATGTAAAATAAGCTTTTCTAGATTTGAGATCTCCTCTTCTTTTCTGTCAACCATTATGCAAATCACACGGTGATGATCAAAAGCCGGGCAAACGCCGAGATGTGTTTTCCCTGTCATGAAAAGACTCTCCACCAGGGACTGGTGGAACCTTCTGCGAGCAGGGAGGAGATGTGAGTTTCGTGACATGCCCTCAGGAAGTGTCCCTCACCTTTTTAAAAATTCCATGTATTCGGCATGCTTGATCAGCCCCGTCCGCATCATGATCGTCTGGAAACATTGCCGGTCGATGGCCCACAGTTTCACGTTGGTGAGAGCTGGAAAAGAGGCAATTATATAACCTGTGAGTCCATACTGGATAAGCAGTATTGGAGGGAAGGATGACTGGATTGATGGATGGATGGATGGATGGGAGAGAGGGAAGGAGATTGGGTTCACAGATGATTAAAACGTTACATCATGACAAGAATAATATTTCATCATTAAATGCAACACATCAGTAGTAAAAGTAGCCACAAAAATACTCAAAGCACTTGTTTTGAATATAAAATCAGTATAAATTATGAGTACAATTACTTTGTAATAACTATCTCATTTCGAGCCAGCTTTCAGTGAAAGTGTATATTTAATCAAGGGGCATCATGACTGAGCTAATTAATAATTAACCAGCAGATATATTAGAGCACACAGTGACCTGAGGTCACTCATTAAAGCCCTGCCGCTCTCGGTTCATTCACATCTCCATCCTCTGCTTCCCGAAAGGGAATGTGGTGTACCCCATATGTCCTTCGAACGATCGAGTGAAAAAAGCACAGCGACTACATTCATGAAACCCAGATATAAGAAAACTGTTATTCCATCATTCTAGTCCCATTTATACTGAAAGAAGAGCCCGTGAAATGCAAGACAATGCGGAGTTAGGCAGATCTGCTAAGGAATCGTAGCCTGAAGAGTTACAAATATTTCTAATTAGCGGCTAGTTACTGGGTGTATGGCCTTTTAATCTCTGGTACGTCAATCTAATACTTCTAATACTAAATTAATTCAAGCATTATTAGTAACAACAAAGATCAGTGTGATCTGGAACATGAAGGCAGGATACTCAGTGCACAGGATGCTAGTCCTTTGTTGTACGGTTATACAGACGTACCCATGTGGAAATTCCTGCTCTCATGCACTTTGGGAGCTACACTGCCAAGCCAGAGGACATCCACGGGGACAACCTGCATCTCCATACGTACATGACTGGGGCGTGGATGTGGAAAACCATCTCACTGACCCTCGACTCCCAAGCAGAACCATCGACGTGTTTGGCTAATTGTGCAGGACGCCATTTCCCTAAACGAGCCGATACAAAGGATGAGCAAATCTGGAAAATATAACAACAACCCAAAATAAGTGCCGTTTGGGTTCATTATTCCGAGACTTTAACGGGAATGTTAGAGGTGCCTCCGGGATAATCCAAAATTACTATTAGATGAAAAGCCCTGAGATTCCCTTAGACCCAGTGGCGGGAAGCCTAGATGGCAGCATTTACATAATATTTCATCCGCCATGCAGCGTTGTTTCTCCCTCAGTTGTCGGGCATTTCCAGCGGCTGGCGGCCCCGAGTGAGCCCGGTGGGCCCCACGCGGATTTCACGCCAAAAAAAAAAGGCGCAAACCTCAAGAAGCCAAGGCTTTCCCCTGCGAGACGACTCTCCGGATGCTGACACAGGAGAGCCGCTCTCAGGCTGCTTCAGAACGAGGCCAGCCCGCCAGAGATTAAAGCCCCAGGGGTCCCGAGAGCTTCGCCCCGCTAAAAACGGCACAGCCGGATCCGCGGGCCGGAACCACGAGTTCACGCCACCGTCTGATCTCCTAAAAACACAGGCAGGGACTGATCACCCCCGGCATGTGAACTGATGTCATAGTCACACATCTGTAATTTGCACGATGGAAATTACAGCCAGAGGGGAAAGCTGCATACAGTCATAGGCACCTTCCAGAATATAGCAAAGTGGCCAGACTGACATCAGAGTCCATGTAAATTGACGGGTAACCATGGCCCAATTCAGAAAGGCTGCCCCGGGTTACGCTCTCAAGGGAGGAGCCAATTACAGCTCCCGACAAATAGGTCTCCATCGTCTGGACGTTTGGACGTAGGACAGGTCACATCAGCACGGTGGACAGCATTGACGTTTGGTCATTTCCAAGCAGTGGCGCATCTCATATAACAAATGTTTTACGCCATAGTCAGCCCTAGAGTGTTTCATTTTTTATTTGCCAGTGGAGAGCTCTGCTTTTAAAACTTAAGTAGCATCATGTTGTCAGATTCATCATGGGTTATCTGATGGCAGTAAATATTAGATATTAGATTAGAAGCAGGCAGGGTATGTGCATCGTTTGGGATCTTCCCTGGTCTCCAGTGACCTAAACAGCATGGTAATTAGGAGACATTAAAATGGCATCCCCTCTCAATGATCTGTATCAAGTATCTGATTAATAGGAAATAAGACCTGATATTTTTATTACGATTTAAGTGCAATTTAATAAGCTAAATAAATTTGGTAAATGATACGCAATGAAAAATAAAAATATTCGTGTCATTTAAGGAATGAAATCCAGCTCTTTTATTTCTTAGGGGAAATAGCATAAAATTACATTTGTAAATTTTCAGAGCCTTAAATTATGAATTTCTTATTGAAGGAGAATTAAGCTTCATTACACTGTTACACAGGCGGCCTCCGGGTTACGAATGAGATCCATTGCCTAAGGCTGTCTTTAAGTCAAATGTGTAGGTAAGTCGGAACAATAATAACATTGTGCATCATGCTATACAGTAATAATCATAGTAAATACATACGGTACCGTACCGTATTGTACTGTACCTCCAGCTGATGAACCGCTGAAGCCCCGCAATGTTCTCAGGAGTGTTCCAAAGTAGTGCGTGCGTTCGTTATTATGAATCATTGTATTTAATGCAAATTTTTAATATAATAGGTGTTATTGCAGTGTGTTCGTAAGTACAAGTTGTCCGTAAGTCAGGCTTTCTTAATCCGGGGACTGTCTGTACGGTGAGACACTGTCACTATATCATCGCTATCCTGTATCACATCAAAATCTCAGTTCATCACCTTTTGTAACAAATGAGGCATTTTGCTTTGGTCTCACTCACAGGTTCTGGATGTGAAGACCGTCATGAAAACCATTCATTACTGACAGTGAGCACTTGATCATTTTCAGAATGACTGATCGTCCGTCACAACAGGTAGCGGATACTGTGACCTTGAGGCACCAATTCGTAAGACAGAAAAGCAGAAAATTCTAGTATCGTTCCAGTTTCTTATTTATTGTCTGGCTTGAAGCTGTAGTGTAGCAGTTTTGCTGCCATTGTTTTGGTAAATTTTCTCAATTTTTTTATGTCAGTGTGTGGGTCCCAATCAGAAGGGACAGACCTCACTTCTGTAAATGTCCTCCCAGTTTGGAATATGTACCATATAAAGAAACAACTCTTGTAACTGTTGGTCCACTGTGAGCTTCATGGCCCCTGCGCCATTAGCAACGGTCTCACCCCAGAGGCTAACGTCGGCCATGTTGGTTGACTGACTACCCAGCATTCTGCGCTCCACGCAGCGACCCATTGAAACTCCATGAACAATTTGGCCACCAGATCACCCGTGTGAATATCTTGTGTGTGACACAGTGTCAGATGCAACGAGGGAAGCGGAGGGGGCGGAGCTCACCACGTCGCCATGGAGTTAACGACTTTCAGCTGGCCCAGCGTTTGATGCTGCAAGGGACGTTTAAAAACTCATTTATTTTTCCATGGCTCTTCATAACTTCCCTGGGGAGATCAAAACAACAACAAAAAAAAAACGAAGACTACAGTAGTGCAGCACATAAAAACAAGGATGCCAGCAAAGAATTAAAAACGGCCATCTTCGGAAGTCCAATCTGCTGTCACCGTCTAAATGAGCAGAGATCTAAAAGCCGAAAACAATCAAAGATTACATCCACTGATGCAAACCTTCTACGTTTTTCAAGCCTCGCTCAGTAATGTGCCAAGATGAATACCAGCTAAATTATAACTGTGAACTTGGACGGGTGTTTAAGCTGTTATGTTTTCAATGTGGGCATTTTGTATTTTTGGGCTGATTGTGCATTCATTTTTATTCATTTTCTCAGCAAACAGTTGTATTCTCTGCCCACACATGTAGGCCAAATTAATACTGCTGCCATTGAAATTACTCAATCACTGCTTTTAGGGCGACATAAAAAACTGGAATCTTTAGTCCATATCCTTAAGCACAATGTTTTCCATTTACATTAATTTCAGGTTTTGGTAGCTATGCTTTATTTATGAAAAAATCCCCAAAGGACACAAAATGTCAGGACCCAGAAATATCTGACATTTGATCTCCCAGCAGAGCGCAGAACAATATTCTCCCAGTTCTGGGACAAAATGAGCCGAGTTTATTTGATCTCTGATACAACCTCCATGGACAGCCAAAGTATCTTTTGCAAGTATCTTTCTGTACATTTGCCTATTGCTTTTTGCTGTTTTACTGTTACTTTGAGACTTGACTTCTCGCTTATTTTACTGTTGATGACAGCAGCATTTGAAGCCTTGTTGGTGAAGAGCTACCTGGTCACATTAATGCACAAAACCCCTAAATGATAAAAACTGCTAATGTGTTACACTTCCGTCTTTTACAGCACAGGAAGAATTTAATTTGGACCCAATTATGCATGTCTAGCAGCGCTATAATGATAGCTCTCTACTGATAAACATGTTTACTGAGACAATGAATCTCCTGGCTGAAAGCCACCAGGCGGCAGATGTTCAGAACTGTTAAGACCGGAGATCTGGCACAAAAGCAACGCAGTTACAGACACGCGTGCCGTTTACTAAACCCTTCCTCTTCATTCTACCTGCCCTACAATGATTTCGGGTAAGAGTACTGATTGACGTTTCTGAGCATTATGTTTCTTCTTCATAGCAGGGCAGGAATTAGGAGCATGTGTTCAACAAGTCGTTCAGCTGTCTGCTATTAGCACGTGTGCCAGTCGATATATGTACAAGTGACAGCTTCATGCCAGCTTAGCGATCCAAAGCTGGCATCACAACCCAATGTCATTTTGCTTCTCACAGTTACAGATAATGTATTCACACTGTGCAGACAGCCTTTCATGGATGGTCATTGTCACCCAAAAAGATTATGTTCTGCAGAAGCTGTGTATCGTATAAAACAGTCTCAAAACATTTCTTTTCACCCATCCATCCATCCATCCATCCATCATCCATCAATCCATCCAACTTCCTTAACCACTTATCC